TGCATCATAAACTGACCAGTTGATTAAAACAGATGAAGGTTTTGCCTGCTGTGAACCCAGAGATAAAAGGGAGGACCTGAAGGGGAGGCTCATCCTGCAGACGGCCAGTTTCCAGGGACCCACCAGGAATCGGAAGGTCCCCCTAATGGCCTCAGCTTTCTTCAGAGGTAGAAATACAGACGGGTGAAAAAGAGGCAGAAGGTCCCTCGGTCAGCCAGAGCCTCCGTTGGGTTCTGCTTTCCCTGCAAGGGCAGCCAAGAAGTCAGGCTGGAAGAAAGGAGGAAGCTTTCAGCTGTTTATTTCTGCAGAAATAGAGAGTCTCCCCTTTGGGACAGAGGTCCAAATCTAGCATGTTGTGTAAAACACGGCTCAGATATTCACATAGAAAGTTTGTTATTTACAAGAAATCTACGTGAATTCTTTCACAGGATTAGTGTTCACATCTGCTCAATTACATTTGTCCTTTGGGGCACAAAATTACATTTGTTGTACTTAATAGAAGAGAGCAAAACCTTCCTATCCTATCATTGTCAGGAATCTCCTGTAATCTGTCTGTCTGTCTGTCTGTCTGTATCACAAAGAGAAAGGGAGCTTACACAATCCAGCAGCTAATTTGATCAGTTCCATTTTTCGCTGGCTTGTTTCTACATGATTTGGTTAATTTCTAGTTGGATTGGTGCTTAAAACAGTATTTGAGACCTTTTCTTCCGATGGGATGGTTTTTCCTTCCCTCCTTTGCTAATTGAGAGGAGAAACAACAAAGCTGAAGGCCAGCAGGAGGCGCCAATCTCCAGCTCTTTAGTGTTTCTGGAAATTCTTAGGGCTGGCCTTGCTGAGACTCTCCCAATGTGAAAGATTTTCAAAGATTTATATTATTTGATGTTCTATATTTTACATTTTTGAGCTATCAAGCTATCCCCTCCTCTTTCCCACAGACAGGGCTAATTTCCACTCTGTACATGCTCTGTGGAAAGATGACTGCAGAAGAAAGATGATTCAAGCCCTGAAAAGACCGTTGGATGTTTCTCCTACTTTGTTCATGATAGGAAATGTAAAATCTACTGAATTTGGGAATCATAATAACTGTAATCGGAAGAGAGATTTATTATTTTAGTCCAAGGAGCCTCCAGAAGAGCTGCCAAAGGAGAGAGCAGCCATCTTAGTTTATTCTGGGAAAAGAGAAGAGTTTGGAGCTTCCTAAAGATTTATGGCTTCCCCAGAGAAGAAAAGGAAACAGGGAATTCATATATTATATTTGATACCTCTGGCATTTTCCCCCTAGAGAGAAATATCTTCGCCTTGAAGATGCCACAAAAAAAGCCTTTGTGCATTTTTATTCAGAGTGAAGGTCATTTGGGGTGTCTGAGGTAAAAGACAGAATCATAGGACTGGAAAGGACCTCAGAGGTCTCCTAGTCCACCCCTCAGATCCAGGCAGGAGACCTAATACAATCCCACTCTGACAGTTCTCCAGTCTGTTTTTGGAAACTTCCAGTGAAGGAGCACTCAGAATTCCAGCATGTGAGCTATTCCACTGAGTAATTGTTCTCACGGTTAGAAAATTTCTCCTTACTTCTAGGTTGGATCTCTCTTTAAGAAGCTTCCACCAGTTGCTTCCA